AGTAAAATGAAAAATCATAAGGTGTAAAAATCATCACTGGAAAATCAGACTCATCTTCAGACGAAGAGGTTACAAACATTGTCTACAAGGAAATATTCAATAATATTTGATGGGAAAAAAAAGTAACCATAACTATACTTCATTATTCCTTTAAAAGTAAACAAATGCAAAAATTACCTCACTTATATGTCATGAAATTTTATTTTTAGGTTCCCACCGCCGATGTTTTCAAACTCCTATTTTCTACATGTATTCAAAAATGGAGACAGCAGGAATCAAAAGCCATCCGCAACCAAACATGTCTTCTATCGAGGAACGTAAATGGAAACCTTTTATATTTCACCCTAACTATTCAATTCAAATTGCACAATGAACTCGCAAACACTATTTCTCCCTATAACAATGAGTCCGAATAACTTGTTTGTTCAATTTAGTTAAATGAAGTTATAAATAATATAACAATCCCATGCTATAACACTTCTCACATTAATACCAAATTTTTTAGTTCATGGAGACGTATTCTTTCACTCATAAAATTTATTTCAATCTTACCATTGTTCAGGTCCAACGTCAGCTCCGATTTAAAACTCAACACATATGGAAGACATGAGGAAGTGGGGGGCCAATGCCAAAGAGAATACTTGGTTTAGGAAATTTGAGGTTGAAGATACGTTTATTTCAAAGAAAACCTTACTTTTAAACCTTTCTTCAATTACAAGTTACAACACAATATATTGCATTATGGTACTCGATATCACATAGTGCTACTGCCAATTTCTTAATAAAAAAATATGAGAAAAAATAACAAAATTGGAGAAGAAAAGGTCACCAAAAAGCTTATTTACATAATTTTAGGTTTGTGACGGCCAATAACCCGCGCGTAGCGCGGGCTCTCACCTATTATATAAAAAAAAAGTTGTTTCATTTCCCATGTTTTATTTTATTCTTTTTGCTAAGATTTACATCAGTAAGTTTATAGCTCAAATAATTTCTAATTGAGTTTTGAACCCCAAAACTCTTA